GAGCTCCCGGTCGACTTCTGGAATTGCCTTAGCGCTGATGTACTCCTTGGGACAACGATAGGATGCAACCATTAAGTACTTGTAGTCATCGAAGTCCATGTCCCGCCCCTTATTGGAGAAGGGACCGGCTAGGTCAAAAGCTACAGTATAAAGGTGTGGATGACGTACACGACGGTGTTTGTAGCCTGTTGCTTGGGAGTTAATGCATATAGAGCAATCAGCTCTATAAGGCTGGTGGTCGTTGGCCAAATGTTGCCTCCAGGCCTCCTTTTGATCCCTGGTCAACTTTGTGAGCTTCACTCCAAGATCATTCAACTCTTGCTCGTTATACTCTGAGCCGTCGTGGAAATCAAGGATGCCCTCAATCAGAACACTCTTAAAGCCCTTGGTCCATGCTCGTAAGTCCTTTCGCGAAAGCAGAGAGGGAGGCACACAGTCATCGCCAAAGTTGTAGTCGCCGTCGAGACTGAGGACGGAGGGATAGTTTGTTCCCACCGTTGTTGGACGTTTTGCCCGGTGACCATAGTTGCCCATGTAGAAGGAGGACACGCCCATGCCACTCACCGACTTGAAGGATTCCCACAGCTCGCTGTTCCACAAAGTAGCGTGGGGTGATTCCCCTCCATGAAACCATTCAGGGTCTGAGGGTAGCTCCATCGCAAAGCCAACGTTGCCCTTGTTTGCCATCATGGCCATAGTCCAGATTAACATTGACTTTGCCGCGCACGAAGTCTCCTGATGCAGCCGTTGTTGTTGCATCGGTTGTAGTCCATCACGTCCATAAGGAGCTTCCTTTGTTCTCATTGGCTCGCTCCCCGGTCCCCGTCGTGGAGTTTGGCACGTATGCCAAGTTCGATCCGGCAGCGAAACCACCACATCAGAGATTTTTCCTTTTGCCGCGGCCCATAGGAGAACCTGGTACACCCCAGAGGAGAAGTGGATGTTCCATAACTTCGAAGCTTTGATGTCAACCTCAAACAGGATCTTCCCTGCCCTTGGTACTGCCCGAAGTGGATCATCACGTTCACATTCTCCCTGAAAGAGCGACACCACCCAGTTAGGCGAACTCAGCAAAGCCCTTCGCTTCCTCCGCGTTAGGGGTAGAGCCTTCAGGTAAGCCTCGCCGGAATCCGGATTGAAGTCCTCGAGAAGCATAGATTGGACCTCCGCTGGTAGGGCTCTGGTAAAAGGGCATTTCAAGATGGCCTTCAACAACACACCTCGCTTACCCGTTTTCTGGAACTCCTTCAACAACTCCGTCCAGTCCCGGTCGTCCTCCTTTTTCAAGACCTCCAAGCGAGCCCTCAAAGTTTCAACATGGGAGTTCAGCTCTTGTACCTGGCACATCTCCAACTCACGGATCATGTTCAAGGCGTCGCATGCTGCTACTTCAGGGCAATGGTTCCGTACCTTCACGACTATGGGGCCCTTTGTAGGATGGGTCAACTTCAACTGTTTTGGTCCCCAATTCAAGGTGTAACCCAACTTCTCAATGAGTGCACCCAACGGAACGATTGGTTGGACTGGCTCGCCCTGCTCCTTCACTAGGATCGTCCCCTGATCATTCTGCTTCAAGATACGGACGTCCTCACCGGCCAAAGTCACTTTGACCGGGCTCCCAGAGTTGTACTCCACATTTGAAGCCGGCCTCATCGCATGACTCGCGCCACTGTCGAGCAAGCCATCCACGCCCTCCTCAGGCTCCTCATCACCCCTTAACGTCTTCACCTTCTCGCCTTCAGCCTTGGTGGACTGAACCTCAAACTTTTTCAGCGTAGTTGCCGTCATAGCTTTTAAGACCTTGCCAACATCCGCGAGAACTTCTTTGATCTCTGCCGCATTGGAAGAATTCTCCTCGGCGGTCCTTGGAGGTACTGGCACAACTTCAGGTCGCTCATCCACTCGAACAGTTCGTGCGCTTGTAGTAGATGAAGAGGGAGGAGTAGCCTGTGGTCGATCATTACCGCTCTTTGGGGTTCCATTCGTAGACGTAGCTGGGGACTTCTTTGTGGGGCAATCCTTGGCTCCATGGCCTTTTCCCCCACAGGCCAAACATCTGTCCTTCTTATCAAGTCCATCCCAACTGTGAAGAAACGGACACTTCCCTGCCCTGGTGCATCCTTTCATTGACTTCCCGAAGAACCGACAGGGCACTTCGCCTTTTGGCTTTTCGTGCTTTGCCCCTTCCTCCGTGGTTGTAGTAGAGGTCGGCGTAGGTGAAGTCCTTGGCAAAGGTGGGGATGGCGCGGTCTTCGGTTCTGGCTTCATAGGCCTCAGCTTCGGCTCCGGTTTGGGGTTCGACACCGTAACCATTTGCGAACTGGTAGCTGCAACCGCAAGTCCCTCGCATTCTGCCATCAAGTGCTTGTAAAAGCTTTCCACTTTTTCGTAGCTCGGATTTGTGTCAACCTGCAGCGTGCTTTTGACCAAGGAAGTTCTGAACGAAGCATCAGGACTCTTTTCCAAGACTGAGTGAGTCACCCGTTGGAGGCTTCTGACCAAAAGGCTCGGATCAGGAGCCTGAAGTCCCAAGTCTGTACATCGCCGCAACCATCGATTCCACGTCCTCAGGGCTGTTACGGCAGCACTGGCATCGGTCTCCTGGTTGGGAGACTGGAGGTTCTGGAGGATCTTGATCTTCTCTCCTTCTCCTCCTGGTTGATAAAGAGTAAGGATTCTGAAAAGCAGTCTCACCGTAGATCCCGCCAGCCTCCTCGCCACAACATCCTGTTTGACCGTCTCGTGCAAGGCTGCCATCACCATTGCCGCTGCGCGGCTATTCAGCCGCGAAAACTTGCCATCCTCAAGACCAGCCGTTTCTGGCGTTACTGCCAGCCTCTCCAAGGGACTCGCCAAAGACCATGCAGAGTAGGCCCGGTTCGCCTCTTTGTTCACTTGAAGCCACCAACCTGCACTGCTGTCGGAAAGGTCTGACATTGGACCATGAATCATTTCCAACCAGTCCATTACATCCACACACGCTGTGTCTGCACACACTTCACGGAGAACGGGTAGAGCATGAACTCCAGGTTTGATCGTTTCTGGGGAACGATCACCTTCGCTCTTCTTGCCCATTTGCTCTATCATCGCTGCCTGTAGCTGGGCCATTCCGTCTGCAAGGATCGCTATGGTTCCATCTTGGTTCTTCTGTCCCAACCACTTCTGAACTGGACTAGGCGACGGACCAGGAAGACCACCTGCTTGTGATGTACTCAACGACGGACCAGGAAGACCACCTGCTTGTTCATTAACATTATGACCAGGTGGTTGTGGTACTTGATTCCCTCCGGGTACACCATAACTCTGACGTAGAAGACCTGGATGTCTCGCAAATACGTTAGGACCTCCGGCGAATTGACCATGATCCCTTGGTGGTACCTCGAAACCTTGAGGAGGTGAAGCATGAACTCCCGTATGCAGACCTTGGCCTGGTGGCGGAGGGCCTTGAACTCCAGCAGGTACACTTTGACCCTGTGGTAGCAGACCCTGAACTCCTGCGGGTACAGTTGGACTTGGTGGTAGTGGAGGAGGTCTTACTGCACCCTGACATGCCGGTTCCCCAGGAAGCTCACTTGAACCTCGAAGTTGAAGAGGAGGTGGAGGTACATATACAGGAGCACCATCTCGACCTTTGACTCCAGGGGCACTAGGTGGTTGTGGTAGGCCTTGATTCCCTTCGGGTACACCATAACTCTGAGGTAGAAGACCCTGAGCCACCATAGACCCGGCATTGAACCCATGACTTCTCGCACGCTCTTCATCCCGTTCGGTACGGAGCTGGAGAATTTCTCTCTGGAGTCTCTCCACTTCTTGCTGTTGCTTCACCTTGTACTCCTCAAGCTGTCGTTGGACTTCAGCTTGAAGTCTTGATGATCTTTCCGAATCACCCTCTGACCCTTGACCCTGAGGTCTGCCGTAGATCATCGGGTAATCTCTCTGAGCTTGTTGCATCCTCGCAAGCTCCACCGGGCCGAAAAGTGGGCCCTCAATCGCTGGTGGAGTCGCCCATGAGCCCGGAATGGCTGGAACCTGAGTCGCTGCAGGAGAGGGAAGTGCTTCAGGAGGGGAGAAGTTCATCGGCACATTCGTCACGGCCGTCTCCATTGTACGATGTTCTCTGTGCTGGGTAACATTGGTAATTCCCAGACTATCCAGAACTCTATCCACTCCATTTGCACTTCTCGACGCCGTCAAACGCAGCATTTCAGTAAATCTGGCCATCCATCTGACTCCTTGGTTTTCACTAGTAGTTCCCGAACGCGTAGTGTAAAACTCTTGGACTCTCATTGCCGAACTAGTAGGTGAGGAGTTGTCATTGGTTCCCACCAAAGCCGCGGCATGTTCCTGGTTTATAACGTTCGCGCCCATATGCGGAAGCTCGTGATACGGCGGCTCAACTGTGGTAGGTTGAGGCAAGTGACCAGGTGGCTCCATAACGTTCTGTGCTCCAGTTCTATCCATCTGTCGCTCCACATCTGTAGCATTCGGATTTTCCAACGCTCCAAGATCTGGTTGAACAGATGGGGCCGTTGCACGTACATTGTCCACACCGTTCATCACCGGTTGCCCTTCTCTCATAGCCCCGTATTCAGAACTCTGTCTCGTAGCGGAGTCGCCCAAAGCTTGGACGCTCATAACCTGTAGGACTTAAGAGTCCGTATATCGAATTGAGAAGCACCACTCGCAAGGTCCAGGGTCTTAAGCTTATGCTCACAAGCAGTCAGCGCCGAGAAACCATGAACGAGCGATGCAAAGCGAACTTTTTAGCAAGACTTCTGACCCACTGCTCTGGACGGCTTGAGCTGTCATTAGGCATGTCTTTACACTGCACATGAATGCCGACAGCTGGCCCTAGGGTCTTGATCACTGCAGAGGCTTGAAGCATAACAGCGACCATAAAAACACTCGTCCAAGAAAGCTCACGATCTCTGGAGGGAACATGTTCTTTCATAAGGTCATAGACAGGCCCCTACACGCTACCCAAGAAGCCATCCCTGCAGTGCCGCTCCGATTCGGCGGACGGGAGCTGTCGCTTCCTCGGGCAGCTCGGGTAACCTTTCGGGGGAGCTCGGGGTTCCAACCTGGACCCTAAGGAACCTATATAAGTCCTTAAAAAGGTAGGTTACGTGGGGTTAAGGAAGGGTTTAGGAGTTTTCTTTAGGGAGTTCTCTCTCTAAGGGGTTCCGTTAAGGGTTACCGAAGAAGGATTCTATTGGGGTTTCAAGGTTTAGGAGTTTCTGGGTTGTCCTTTGGGATCTGTTTTGATTTCCCCTACTACTTTGTAGAGAACCATAATAGTAGATAATTTTCAAAGGGCTCAAAGGACAACTCAGGTTTTCTTTGAGGAGTCCTTTCTTTCAGTGGTCCTTTAAGGGTTCCCTAGACTAGAAGGGTTCTATTGGGTTTGGAGTTCGGGGTTCTAGGGCTTTAGGGTTTCTTTAAGGAATCCCTTAAGGGGTCCTTGAAGAGTTCCCGTAAGGGTTCCTGAAAGGATTCTATGGGGTTTAGGGGTTTCGGGTTTATAGGGGTTTAGGGTCTAGGGTACAGGGTTTCAGGTGTAGGGCCCCTTCAGGTTTAGGATGTTCTTGGATTTAGAAAGGGTCAACGGTCAACTAGTATAGTTACAACACGTTTTTTGTTTTTTTTTCGGGAGCCTTGTAAAGACTGCCCTTCGGCCAAGCCCCCACATCAGGGTTTACTTTAACCCCACATAACTTACCTTTTTCAGGACCTATATTATAAAGAAATCGTAATAGGGGACAATAAAAAAGGTAGGTTCTTTGAGCTCCAGGTAGGGCTTTGGGATTGGCGGGTGCCGGTCGCTCAAGAGGTGTAGGCTTCGACGTTTTGGGGCATTCCCGGCGGATCCTATCTCCCAGTGGTTGAAGGGTTAGTTCGACAACTATGACGTCGGTGCCAGCTATGTTGTATCGTTTGGGTCTGGGCAGGGTTGAAGTTTTCAGGTGTATGGCTTGGCGTGCTTCGTGCTGATGGTTACGTACAATAAGTTACATTGTAGAATCGACGGTCTTCAGCAACTGGTACTGTCACTCGTAGGCCTTTTTGAGTCAGCATTTTCGGTTTAGGCTTACGGGTTGTAAGTTTGTGCTGCTTTGCATTTCAAGGTTCAGGGTTTGGGGTTTTCGGTGCTTTTCGGATGATGAAGGTTGCATAAGGGTTTCAACCACTTTGGTTTAAGGTTGCTTGGGCTGTGGCGGTTTCATTGTTGCATCCTCGCAGAGCCAGTCATGACCTGTTATAGGTGCTGGACAGTTATTGTACCTAGTTTGGAGGGGTTACAGAGAGGAACCTTAACAGGAACCTTCAAAGGGTCTTATTCCTACTCCTTCACCCATAGAGATCTTGAAACCTTCACAGAACTCTTACATGAAGCCTGAAACGGAACCCTCAGAGAATCTGACTCCTACTCGTTCACTTATATCCTGCATTACCTTATGGACCCTAAACTATGGGAATTATGGTATATTCCTTACTATGGGTAATCCAGGATTTATATCATCAACCCTAAACCCTAAACCCCCTATAGATCCCTTCAAGGAGCCCCTTAAAGGTACCCTTATAGATCCCTTTAAAGGAAACCCTAGAATTTATATCATCAGCCGTACTCCTTCATGTCGGGCTCTTGGGAGATCTCAGGCTGCGCACCCTGCCTGCGCTGCGGAGCCAGTCAGCGCAGGCAGGAGCTGGAGGTTTCCGAAAATAGGGTACCATAATATAGTGCCCTAAATCGTAGGATCCTTATTATATTGACCCCAAAGTAAGGTACCCCTAATTTTCGGAAACTCCCATCTGGGGTTTGGGTCCTATTTTTCAGGGCTTGGGTTCCAGCGCTTAAGGTTTAGGGTCCTGGTGTCTATGATTTTTCGGGCCAGTTTCATGAGTTTGAGGGCCCAACTCTCGGATTTAAGCGCTTCGCAGTCCAGTTTTTCTGGTCTTGATTTGAGTTTTGGGCTCAGGGATACAGGGAACTCCAGAAAGTTGGAATATGGTTTCATGGTAGGATGCCCTATAACTTACCATAGAAGGGTTAGGATAATAATCATATTCCAACTTTCTGGCTTTTACCTTAGGGTTTTTTTGGGGTTGTTCTTTGCGGCTCGGCTCGGGGTTCAGCGCTTCGGCACCCTACAGCATTTGTGGAGAATCTAAGCCCTCAACCCAGAGACTCCAATATCCCTTAATTAAGGAATTTACCTTAAATTATAGTAGGATCCTTAATATGATTTAAGGAACATTCCCTAATTAAGGGGTATTGGAGTCTCTGGGAACCCTTGCTTCCAACCCAAGCCCTGGACCAGGTTTGAAGCAGGGTGTTCATACACTTACGAATATTCCTCAGAGGAGCTCGGAATACACTCGCCACAATCTGCAGGCCCTCACAGCAAAGGCCCCTGATAGAATCCCAACTACGGTACATATAACTTTACTTATGACTTATGACGTACTCACCAACCCTAAACCCCAAACCGCGGTGTAGAATCCTTACAGGGAGCCTTGAGGAACCTAGTTGCAAAGTCTCCTGATCGTGTAAGTCTTAAACCTTGAACCCGACAACCCCCCGACCCCAAAACAAGGGCCTCTTGGAGAATCACGAATAAGATGCACATAACGTACAACCGACTTGCTGAGTCCCCTGATCCTTGAATCCTAACCCCGAGCCCGAAGGGTAGAAGACTCAAAGGAACCTTGAAAGGAACTGCTTATCCTGTCAAGAACAGACCCAAAAGCCTTGAAACCCTAAACCCACAAACTCCGAATCACCCGGCGGCCCTGTAGTAGTTCCTTCTTCGGATTACCTTATAGGATTCTAGAAATGAGCCCTAAAAGGAACTACTTTGGGGCCTTTGGGCAAGGGCCTTTCCAGCAGGTTCGACCTGGCTCGTGGCCTGCGTGCGCATCTGCGCGAAGCACATGCCCGGCGTCCGCACTTGAGGGGAATTGGGGTGTTGGGGGTTTAAGGGTTTTGGGGTTTGGGTTTTAGGGTTAAGGAGTTTAGGAGTTATAGGGCTGAGGGTTTAGGGTGAGGGGAACAACCCGGCCCTATGGTTAAGATAGGGCCTGTTCAAGGTATCCGCCTTTTGGAAGTGTTTGGATGGGGCTTACCTAGTTAAAAGAACACGACCCCAGAGACCCAGCAGAGCATGTAGGAGAGACTAGTTGCAGAGGGTTTTCCCTGCAGTGTTTCAAGTGCGACTTCGGATTATATTTGGCTCAAGAAAAAGAAGGGCAATGCAGCTAGATGCCCTGGTTCTTTAGAGGGTTGGCCGGGTTTAAGTACCTTCCTTCCCTCTTGATTGGTTATCAGCCGTAGCTCTTTGTTTCCTTTGGTTTCCTACTTGAACCCGGCCGCAGGGTTTTAGTGGTTCTTCCCCCTGCCATAGCAAGAGCGCAGCCTTAGGCGCGCTGGTGGGCAGATTGCTAGTGGGGTGCTGCCTTGTGCGCACCGGCTAGCATATGCCACCAAAGGGCGAGGCACCTGCCGGAGACAAACCCTACAGAGGGGGCCGCGCAGGAGCGAAGAGGAGGAAGCTTCACTTTTACCAAGCGCAGGACGCGCTGATCCAGCTTGCTGAGACGGTACAAGATATAATCGTGCAGAGGAGGAGCTTTGAAGACGTTACCGAGGCCCACTACGACACGATTATAAGGTTCGGCCAGATTACAGAGCAAGTCGACGTATATCACCCTGTGTGGGCAGATTTGGTCGAGTACTATCCTGAGTTGTGGACTGCTTTTTCGGACGTCGCGGAAGAGCCTGCCACTGGGTCAGGAGCTCGCTGGAGGCCGAAAGCCGCAGCAAAGGCAGCTGGGTCGGGGGGTGCTGCTTCAAGCGCACCACAGGAGGAGGAGCAGCCAGCCGAGGAAGCGTCAGGCGCGCCCGCCGAGGGTGCAGCCCCTGGCGCACCGGCGCAGCCGCCCACACCTCCGAAGGCGCCGGCTCTTGGAATAAGGGGACCCACGCGGGACCTTTATTACAGGGGCCGGAGCGACCCACTGAGGCAGAGGAGGGTGCCAGCAGAGCCAGAACAGATCATTGAAGACACTGGCGCGAGAGCATCATCCGAGCCACCGGCTGCCGAGGGCGAGGTGGATCTGTCCAGAGCCGGCGGGAATCCGGCAGAAGATTCCCTGCGATCTGCCAGGCGCGTCCGCACCCCGCCGGCGCGGCGAGCGCAAGAGGAGGCACGCCTGGAGGAGCTTAGGCTCCGCGGCTCGGTGTTTGCCTCTTTTAGGGACGCCGAAGACGCGGAGCCCGAGCAGACAGCCGGCGAGGAGGAGACCGAGGAGGTAGAGGTAGAGGTCGAGGTTGCCCAAGGTGACGACCGGGGTGCTGCCGAAGGCGCACCAGACGACGAGCCAGCAACCGAAGGCCGACAGGCAGAAGGCGCCGAGGAGGAAGAGGCAGCAGAGGAAGACGAGGCAATAGACGTGCACCCTGCCTCGGAGGCAACAGTTTCTCCAGCCACCTCGGAAGCCGCAGCCCCAACGCGAGAGATCCGTGTGAATCTTGGCAGGGGCCGGGGTGTGACCCGCAGGCCACTTATCCTTGCACCTCCCACCGAAACCTTCCCAACGGTTCGGGTTGATAGTCAGGGTGCTTGGGTTCGGGTTAGGGATTCCGGTGCGGTTCCCACCTTTCAGCGTCGTGCCGTGCCCCCCCCGAGGGTGCAGCGCACCGCGCACCAAGGGGACGCAGAAGAAGCCCTAAGTGCACCCGATCCGTTTGATCTGCCAGACGACGCGTGGATCGATCCCAGCTCCTACCGGGAGGTCTACACAGCTAGTGGGGTTCCTATAGGGGTGTGTCCGTAGCGCGCATAGACACCAGCTTTTGCGAAGAAGAGACAAGGCAGCGGGGTGCTGCCTCAGGCGCACCGGCAACACCTAGGGCACCCCCACAGAGGCGACCGTTCCAGCAGGGAGAGATCGTTGAGGCCGAGGTGGAAGAGACAGCGGCCTTAGGCCAGCGGTGGCCCGCGACACCTGAGGGAGAGCCTCCAACGAGGCGCCCCCGTGTGGTCCTTACCCCCGCTTCTAAGGCACCCGGTGTCCCCACCGCAGCCAGCGCACACTCGCCTCCGAAGGCCAGGCCCAGGACAGCCGAGGCAAGCACAGGCATAGGTCAGGCCAGGCGAGGTGCAAAGGCAGAGCCAGCGCACAAGAACCCCGCGCCGGGCAGAAGCAGCTCCCCCAAAGGGTGCTGCACAGGCGCACCGGGGTCGAGGGCGCAGCGGGTCGTGGCCACCCAAGCGGCACGCATCTTCTTCACCAGAGGGTGCAGCTTCTGAGGGCGATTCCCCAAGGTCACGCGCACCGGTGACGAAGGAGAGTCTGCCAAAGGCACGGCAACCACAGCCGAAGCTTCCCTCAAAGGTGCCTCCGACCGATAAGTACGGGGTTAGGTATAAGTCGCCTCCTGCGCCAGCGCCGCCCACGCCAACGGGGTCGGCAGCAACAGCAGCATATAAGGGCCCGCCCCCACTCCGTGTTTGTGGCCAATATCAGCAGGGGAGGCCAAGAGCAGCCCAAGGCGAGCACAAAGGCTCCACCGCCGATCGTCACAGGCAATCGTCAGAAGCTAGCGTACCACGCTTGGGCGCAGCAGACGCGTGACGAGGAGAACGCCGAGGCCGCAGCTTCAAGCGCGGCGGCTGCCAGTTCCTCGCAGAGGGTGCTTGCTACGCGCACCGAGGCCACTATTGTATTCGACTGGCACCACGTCTTGGACAAGGCCTGGATCGAGTCCAGAGGTGCCACCTGGGACACCAAGCCTGGTTCCCACGGGTATTTCAATACTGAATTTGTGGCCGCGCTAAAGGAATTCTGCGAGGAACACAAGCCACTGCGATTGGCAATTCTGAGTTACAGCACGCAATCCACCGCTCCTTGGTACCGCTTCCACTTCCTCGAGGAGGCCCTAGAGTGCTTAAGGGTGGCGTTGCCTTTGAGCATCAACCTTAGCATTCCAAGAAAGGCCGTTCGACATCATAAAGCGCTCTTTGCGTCAAACGACCGTATGGAGCATTTTTCGGTTTTGGACGATATATAAACAGATTTGTCGAGTTGCGTGAAATACGTGACGAAAACCGAATAAAGACAAACTCGATTGGATTTGTTTTGACAACAACCAGGAAAATTGGATTTGAGTGAAGTTTAAATACTTAAACGGACGACCAAGCCAGATGACTCGACAAGCAGGCTTACAAATTTTCAGAAAGCATGACTGGCGAGATGCAAAAGATCCCGCTCGATATATGACAACGACGAACACATGCGTGCCAATATGTATACGAACACTCACAGAGCAGTACGTCGGCTGCAGACTTTTCCTCGCAGCACTCACGACATGTCGGTTCCGACCCAACGGAGGGCGGTTAGCAGGCAGTAATGCTGCAAGGCCCGCAAGCTCATGGTGCGAGGATGCGAGTGCTCGACGATCCGCCTCAGATCAAAAGGCAAACCTGATGCGTGAAATCATGCGTGAAATCTTGTGTGCGAATTACATATATGCGCGAGATGAAATTATGCATGCATGTACAGGCGAATTGCTTGCACTTGCCGATGAGATCCTCATCGAGGAAACAACTGTAGTAGCGGGACATGCATCGAACTTGCGACCCCAAAAAGCCTGGCGTAAGCCCTAAACCCAATCCTAAACCCTAAACCGTCAAGCCTCAACCCTCAACCCGAAACACTTCAGCCTAAACCCTAAACCCTTAAGCCTAAACCCACCCCAAACCCTAAACCCTGAACCTTTTAGCCTGGCTCCGCCCTTTTGCCGATCGCACGCGCTGCATATTTTCATCGGAACATGGCGGGTGAAGCTTCTAGTCCGAGAGGATTGCAGCCATAAGTGGTGCACCCCTTCAGTTTCTGCTTAAGAGCAGGGTCTTCTGTGTCTGTCATGGACATTCTTGCATGAGGTCGGCCCGGCCTCAGAGCAGACATGAACGTGGCAAGTTCACACCCAGGACTTTTGAGGTATATTTGGAAAAAAAATTACAAAAATGTATGTTTTTGAACTTCACGCAATTTCACGCCCAGTCGGTCGTATAGAGCGCTCTATGTAGTGAATTTCACGCAATTTCACGCAATTTCACGCCCACTGGTTTTTGACGATCTCGAAAAACCCAGGGATTTTCAGGGTTGCATTTGCCGGCCACATGAATTTCACGCAATTTCACGCCCAAAAGGCTGCCGAGCTGCAATTTCACGGAATTTCGCGGCCCTTATAATATAGCCGAGCTGCAATTTCACGGAATTTCGCGGCCCTTATAAGTGCTGAGCTGCAATGTATTTAACGGGCCGAGCTGCAATTTCACGGCCTCGAGTTTCGCGGAATTTCGCGGCCCGGAGCTGCAATATATAACTGGCCGAGCTGTAATTTCACGGAATTTCGCGGCCGTGCTATAGCTGAGCTGCCAGAAATGTCGCGGTATGTAACCCGAGCTGCAATTTCACGGAATTTCGCGGAATTTCGCGGCCCTGTGCGGAGCTGCAATATAACGGGCCGAGCTGCAATTTCACGGACTTTCGCTGCCCTTATAAGTGCTAGCTAGCTTACAAGCCGAGCTGCAATTTCACGGAATTTCGCGGAATTTCACGGAATGGAACGGGCCGAGCTGCAATTTCACGGAATTTCGCGGCCTAAGGCCGAGCTGCAATTTCACGTATAGCCTGGGGTTTGGGCTGATCTATTAACACATACATATATGCAGATCGAGTGAATGCCGTCATGAGTGCCATTGTAAAGAAATGACCGGTTCAGGTTTCGGGCTGCTACTCCATGCGTGCTGTTTAAATTTTCGAGCCTTTAAAATCTACGGTGCGTCGCGTCTGTGCATCCATCTCACGAGCAGCAGAACTGACGTGCATGCATGCCAGTCCGTCGAAATCCGAGACGATCGCCAAG